GGGTTCCTACTAACCTAACCGAGCCTTGGGAATCTCATCAAACCTACCAACTGATACATGATCTGGTAAAAATATTAAGAAGACAAAAAAGATTTCTTGGAATGTTAATTGCAGGAATCTTTGCCCTCGTAATTTTACTTACTTCTGTGGGCATTGCTGCTTCATCCATGGTACAAACTGTTCAACCTTCTCAGTTTGTACGACATGTTAAGGAAATTGTAACTAAGACCTTGTCTATGCAAAAAAGAATTAACAGCCAGTTTGAGATTGAATTGTCGGCACTAAAGTCTACAGTCTTGTGGATGGGTGATAAAATCCATAGCTTAGAGCAAAGAATATCCTTGCAGTGTCATTATAATTTTTCCCAGATTTGTGTTACCCCCATTCCCTATAATAATACCTTGCACCCTTGGGAATCAATAAAAAAATCACCTTCTTGGTGCTTGGGGTAAACGTAACACAACCCTGGATATTTTAGAATTACAACAGCATATTGTACAAGTATCCCAGGCAAACTTACAAACTAATTCCTTGGATGCCTGGCAGTAATTTAAAAAGGACATGAAAGCCGAAACCGGTTTGGCTCAGTGGATAGAGCGTCGGCTTGCGGACTGAAAGGTCCCAGGTTCGATTCCGGTCAAGGGCATGTACCTGGGTTGCGGGCACATCCCCAGTGGGAGATGTGCAGGAGGCAGCTGATCGATGTTTCTCTCTCATCGATGTTTCTAACTCTCTATCTCTCTCCCTTCCTCTCTGTAAGAAATCAATAAAATATATTTAAAAAAAAAAAAAAAGGACATGAAAGAATTTAACCCCTTCCACTGGATATCTTTGCATTAGCCTCTCAGCATAACCGCTGTTGCTTGTCTCATTTTTGTTCTCATATGTTTATTTCTAGCCTGCAGATGCAGAATGAAGAGTCTTAAAAGGACTCGAACCCTTTAGGCGGCATTCACTTTTTAAGATTTATTAAGGAAAAGAAAAGGGGGAGATGTTGAAAGCTGCCCATTGTCTTCACTAGCAGAGAGGTGTGGACCAGGAGCCCGGAACGCTGGTGAACCTTGAGCCCTGGCAAAGTCAAGCCAATGGTAGCTGAAGCAATTTCCTGACCAGATAGTCATGTAAATCCTTACTGATAAGATAGTCTGCCTGTTACTAGAACTGCCTGCTTAAGGGGTATAGGTGTATCCCAAACTGAATAAAAGGATGGCAAGACCTGAGCACAAGTGGAGTCCTTCTTCTTACACTGGGCTCCTGTCTGGCCCCCCAATTTCCAAATTATTATTTCTTGTCTCGTCTCTGTCATTTGCACGTGGCCCTTTTCCAGAGCCCGAACCTGAACCACGCGGGACGTGGGTCATCACAAAGCTTCTTAGAAACAGTAGCTACCACTACTATCATTACTACTATTAAATAATAATTTGGTTATTAAATTGGTCACTTAACTCCACATCCCCTCCCAATGGTTTAGAACAGATGTCCTGATTATAGAATACACTTCCCCCTTCTGAACCATATTCCAAAGGATGAGCCAGAGAGAAATTCCACAGAAAGGTCATGCAGAAGACCAACCATGTACTGCCCCCCACCCCCAGGCCGTCCCTGACACCTGGGGTCATCTGTCTCCCTGGGTTAGGGCTGTCCTCCCCAGAGCCTTGGTTGGAATGTACAGGTCTGGGGATCCAACAGGGTGGGCTAAGTGGACAAGATGTCCTCTCTGATCAGGGCTGGGGGCACTCAGGAGTTAGCAGCAAGCCCTGTGTTTTATGGGGAGTGCACTTATAGGGGGTCTCTGAGGGCCCCCCATATCCTCCTATTCAGACCCTTGGAGCCACCCTTAGTGCAGAACCCCTTCCTGAAACATCAAACACTCCTCTGTGCAGGGCTGTGGAAGGGACGAGTCCAGCCTGCCCGAGACCAGAGGAGGGGGTGAAAGTGGCCCCCAAGGGACTGGACTCTGCTCCTGAGGGAGGGACCAG